ATTGCAGAAAACGATTCTGTCCACAAACTGATGTCACTGGGAAATCCAAACAAATTGATTGCTTCCCAACCAATATAATAATACGAAAAAAAATGCAAAATAAGAATTATCAATGAAATTACAAAATTAGCTCAGCAGTGAAAGGCAAATGACAACATGTTTTGATTGTTTTGACATTTCATGAGATACATAACCAATAATTTAAAAAATTCTCAAAAACAAATGAAATCTTTGAGATCACCCGTATGTGCTGCCATCCCAGCAATCATACACTGAACTTAGTGATTGGGCAGTCATGACATAGTCGGCAGCTTACTTGATATTCAGCCGTCATTGCCTCAGCGTTGATGCCCAAGGGTGTTTCGAAAACGAAACCGGTGTCAGATGTCCTGCCGTACACGCCACCGTCATCAGAACCTCACTTTGTGTACGTTCGTCAACGCGGATCCCTTGAAATTCGAGGTGGCTCTGGATGTGTCTGGATGCCCCCTTCACTCAGCATTGCTGCCAAAGTAATTGGGACTGCTGCGTATGTTAATGGACCGCTTGAAGTTCGCGTTTATTGTTTTGTTTGTGTTAATTTTCGTCCTCGTCTGCTTTGCGGCGGAGGGGAGACTGATACTTTTTCTCGATACTTTGTTTCGAGTTAAAGGGAAGAGTTCAATTAGCATCGAGGGTGGATGACGATTAACTCGAATTGTTTTTTTTTATTTTACTTGTAGTGACACTTTGTGTTTGATGGGTCTTTGTTCTTAGAGAGTTTCTTCAAATGGTTTAGGCAATGCTAAAACTTTTTTTCTATGTAAACTCGCGTCGTCAATGCAAGTCACTAGTCAAGTGTCCATAAGCAAAAATACACGGGTTACATGTATCATTTTTCGAAGAAAAAATAAGACTTCACTGAATATTTTTGAGAAAATCAGGATATGTAGGATAGCTAGCTGTGACGATAGATATATCGAAAGCTTTTGACTTCATTTTGCACCAAGCACTTCTTCACGAACTTCCATTGTACTGGAAAGAAATATTCTCAGATGAATTATAAACATAAAACAAAAAAAAAACAGAAAACAAAAAAAAAATTTATACATATAAAGCAATACATTGAGAATTCGCATTCTCTATGTGATGGGAATACCAACTCTTTTTCATTTTATTCAACAGAAAACAACTAGTTTCCTGGCTATATGCCACGACGAACATTGAATTATATATTGAGCACACACGATAAGAGTTTGAAAATAAAATATAAAATCTTCTGAAATTGAGAATTTGCTTTCTCCCTCAGACAAAAATATGTATATGCACACATCATTCTGAATATTCAACAGAAAACAACTATTTTCCTTGCTATTTGCCACGTCGAACATTGAATTAAATCTGATGAACATCCAAAAGGAGAACATGAAAATAAAAAATTAATTTCTCCGAAATTGAGAATTGTCATTCTTTCTCAAATCGGATGAATAATATGATGTATAATGATATAAAAATATAACTTACCAATATATTCAACATTGAAATGGAAATTAGAATGTAGAGGAGAAGGCATAAACTCTGATCTTGATGAGCTTGAAAACTTTCAAAAATAATCATTCATATCAGTGATATGGAAAATATTATCTCTTACACACAGGTTATATGACTTTATTGCAATGAACTAAATACTCATTTCGGATTTCTAAATCCTCATCAGTAACCATGATCTCCACTTATTCAATGATGTGGGCATATACATATTTCTGTCTGAAAGGAGAATGCAAATTCTCTATTTCAGAAGATTTTATATTTTATTTTCAAACTCTTATCGTGTGTATTCAATAGATATAATTCAATGTTCGTCGTGGCATATGGCCAGGAAAGTAGTTGCAGTTTCCTGTTGAATAAACTGAAACAGAGTTGATATTATCATCACATAGAGAATGCTTATTCTCAATGTATTGCTTTATATATGTATATATATATATATATATATCTTTCTTTCTGTTTTGTTTTATGTTCATAATTCATCTGAGAATATTCCTTTTCAACACTTTCATACCCAATCAAGGGGTTCAAATCACAGATTCGTGATCGAGTCTCAATTCAGAATTTCTTTCCACGACCTGTATGATGAATGTCGGTTTGTCATACACCCAAAAACAAAAACTTCCATTATACTGCTTACCTCCTCAGGTATGCCTTATTTTATAGAGTTCCGTTCTTTATTTTGGCATCGACAATATTCCTAATCACTTCATATCGATGATCTGTTCCGGAATTTTAATTTCATCCTTTCACTAGGAACTCATGACAAGCTGTCGATGAAGATCTTGCTCAAATTGTTCAAATGATGGTCTGGTTGAATGAGGAAGTATCTTTTTCCGCACTCATTTTAGGGTAAAAAGAGTAACTTTTCTGCCCTAGCGTGAAAAAGTAAATTTGTTGAGTGTTGTGTGTACACTGATATTTGAATAATAAATAATAATGAATGTTTGTCTAAGTTAACTTTTGTTGTTTTTTTTGCACGCTAATTGAAGAAAAAGTGTACCTGACACGTACTCAAAGTGGCTTTTCCACACGCGATTGCTGTCTGAACTCCGCATCACTTACCGCCCTTGTTAGGAAAACTACTATTTCAGTCTCACCAGTTGGCATTATACTAGAGAAAAATAAAAAAATGATGGATAGCTGAGGCTGTTTCTATGTTTCATTGAGAAATGATGTGACCGATGTCAGCAGATAGACGAGCTCGAGTTATGATTATAGACTTGAACAGAGTTAAGTAATTATTAGTTATATGTAAACCTTCGTATCAGATCTCACAAGCTTCATCTGGTGGGCAGTCATATTAGGCCTGGATCATCTCTAAAAACGCCAAACTCAGTATGCCTCATATGACAATTTTTTGAAAAAAGTCCACATATATAATCATTGATCATCTTCAATGGAAAAACATTTTATATCTCTCCCGAATGCGGCCTCACAAAAATTTGGCTTCTTATGATCTACAAATCATTGATTCGACTTGTCCAAAAATACTGCTCTCATTTGGGTACCAGTCCGACGAGCTCGAAGAGATCAGTCGTCGATATTAAAAAAAGTCGAACGACTCTATCAGAACTCATTCGTTTATGAAACGGAAAAGCTTTGGAATGATTTATTGTCTAGAGAACTATTCCCAATAAAGTTATTTCTAAAAATAGATTTTATTGATATTCAAAATGGAATGGAACAATTAACTGGGTGAAACTAATACACTGTTTTATTGTTGATTCTGTATTGAATGTCATTGAAACCATAAAACGTTTGGAGGCCGGCATGTGCACTAAGGAATTTAATTTTTGAATGAACATAAATTTGAAACTGATAGTTCGTAATAATTATTGAATAGGAATCATTTATTCTTCTTCAGAATTCGGAAGTTATTAAGTTATTTATATCAAAAATATCCAGTGGCATCCTACTCATCACTAGAATGGGGATGTTCAACAGCTGTAATGTCACCTATAGGGATTACTGTTATTATTTTCTACTCATATTGTAGACGCGGGTTTGAGTGATGCCAATACGACATCAATGTTAGCCCATATTTTCTTGGAAGCTGTTTGATGCTCGAAGATGTTCTTTAAAATGACTCGAGTTTGGCGAACACTCCGTAATTTTTCCAGATACTATATCTGCGTTCAAATTTTCAAATCAATTCTGATGGAATAGGACTGTTACCTATGCATTTGGTGAACCTCAGAATGATTTCAAAAGATGAATTCAACTGACAGTGATCTCAAATGTACATAAAAACTCTGGAGCCTTATGTTGATAAATTGTTGAAATTGGTGAAAAATATGGATTATTCAAGTAAAACTAGGGTCCCCTGATGGAAATTGACATTAAAGTCATCTTAACAGGGTACGGACAGATCATAGCTGCATTCTTTTTTAATGATCTAGAGACTTTAGTTTTGTCTACTGGCATCCCTGACATTGCTGTCACGTCACATCCATGGGCGCCACAGAAAATCATTCGAAATTTTAATAATAGGTATGTACAGGGTATTTAATTGTTGAGGAAGATCATATGGCGAACAAGTTTTGTGATGAAGATCCGATTCTATTCAAAATTGATATCTGAGGGTTTTCGGGGTAAGAGATAATGATTGTTTCGTCAAAATTAGAAAATCCAAGATGACGACGGATCCAATATGGCGAAAGACATTAGTTTATATAATTACTACTCTATCACAAATAGAAAAAATGTAGGATGCAAGAGTGAAAATAACGTGCCTATAAGTTATACCTACTTGTTTGTTACTTTCATCAAAAAATTATTCGAAAATGACTTTTTATTTAAGGAAGACGGAAGAATCACATGTATAACATGGGAGTGAAGTTTATTCTATTCTTTATTTCCCTGCACATTTTACGTATAACTTTTTATCAGCCTACCTTTCGTCCTAGACGAAGTTTTATACATAGTTTATATTAGTCACTCCATAAATTCTTCGAGTTGGATTTCCGAAAATATATTTAGCACACATTACATGAGTACAGTAGTTTAGATATTCACATCGAGGTTTTCACCATTTCTCAATCATAAGAGTCAGCTCATTCAGCTCATAGATAAACTACTGCTCAGTTTGAAATCAGAATTCATTCAGTCAATTCAGTCAACCCTTGTATACAGTCTAAGAACAGTCTCTTTTGGTGAAATATATTGAGCTTTCAGTAAAATTCATATGTTTCCTTAGCTACCTCTCAAAAATTATGCTGGAGTATAGTAAACTCTAAAACTAGAGGATTGTTCATCTATATTTTGGTATAGTTGAATCAAGAATTCCATATGTAAATTACGTATGATACGCCAGTGACCTCAATATAACCTAAAAAACAACAAATGCCAAAAATCTAGTGTTTATCCCCAGAAATGAATAAAGATGGAACTATATAACTGTTTCACAAACACTTTAGAATGAGAGGAGACGAGGATGATGACAAATACGTCAGTTTACATCAAGGGACCCTAAGTAAAACTACATCTTGTTTTGATTATTCTATAATCGGTGACCTCCATATTCAGTTAATACTCATGACATCAGATTTCTGGAAATGTAAAGCTTGAGCTCTGTTCAACTGAGGGGGATACCCGTATTCCAAAACACCTTCTTCCATTGGCACCGTGGTCCTAGAGGCGACTGGAGTCTTTTGAATTGGATTATATTGCACTTGTGAGATATAATTCGGGTTGCTCATATTTCTGGAGTCCATGGGGTTGATATAAGCAACTTCTTTCACTTCTGGTGGTGAATTGGTTGCAGCTGCTGATGACTTTTTGATGACTTCTCGTACCATTTCTGTTTCAGTGCTTTGGGGTACATGTGTTGTTTGATTATATTCTGCTTGGGAAAACTGTGCGTTATTTTGTGAATTCTGATGATTGGTTGGCATTTGGTGCTGAACAGGATCAGCAGATTGTGAATAATCATTATCAGCGCCACGTGGTATCATTTGTTGCAAATTTGAATTCTGGGCATCGTTTGAGGCAACGACCGGATTTTGCTCCTCAGATATAATCGGCATCTGATGCTTTTCAAAGTCTCCATAACTGTTTGTCTGAGCTTCTGGTGATTGAGGTAATGCATGTTGAGACGCCATTTGATTCAGATTCTGATTATTCGAATCACCAATGATTGCAGAGTTGTTGTTATTTGATATTTGCTGATACTGCATGGGTTCGGTTGGAATCATGTGGACTTGCTGTTGAGCGTTATTTTGGTTATGATGTGATCCTGACATTGTGGAATAGTGGGATTCATCTTGAGGTGACTGATTTTGTGTAGAATACCCAGTTTGGTTTATTGTTGTAGCTGGTGCAAATTGTACTGGTTTTTGCAGATTCTGTGGGGGCATACCAACAAGATTATTGTTTGATACTGCTTGTGGGTAATGTCCTGTAACTGCTGATTCCTGATGATGAGTATACCCTCCAGATTGATCCTCATTACCATGTACATGAGGTTGAATTCGTTGGTGATGTTGATAGTGACTATAATCAGAATTCATTGCTTGCTGTTGTAGTTGTTGTGGTTGTTCTGTTTGTGGTGCATAAAACCCAGTATTTTGGATGATATTGTACTGTGGATCTTTCTCTGTGTCAAACTGATGCCCAGCAGTAGTATTTTCGCCAGCTCTAATATGAGGAAGCGACTGCATACCTTGTAGGTTATTATGATATTGCTGTTGGTGATACATTGCCTGATTTCTATTTGGTATTTCAGGTGATGAATTAGTCACCCTATTCTGCATCTGGCTTTGCAATGAATATTCATGTTGATTTTGCCGATTCATGGTAGTTATATTTTGATTGGAGCGGGTATGGTGTCCTTGAAGAACTTGTTGGTTAATGGTATGATTATTCATTGGATTAGGATGAGTGAGTGTAGCTGGATTATGCTGCATGCCTTCAGGAACAGGCTGTTTTGAGTACTCTTGGTGGTCCATAGGGAAATCTCTGGTTTGATTATCATTCTGATCATTGGACTGATGCGAATGGTGCGGAGGAGTCGTAGTTATAGGATCTTGTGGGTCATTATGGAGCAGTTTTCTAATGCTAGTGGGTGGTCTAGATGCCCCATATCTTCCGAAAGGAGAAGAATGACTCTGCAAACCATTAGCTGATTCCTTTCTGCCCAATCCCAAACGATTGTTGCTAGTTTCTTGAGGAAAACTTTGCGTTTGCTTCTTTGGAAAAAATCCTTCATAAACGACATAGTTGTTCATTTGTTTCATCGGTGAGTTCAAGCCGTAATGTTTGTTGAGGAATCTGATGAGTTTCTCACTTGGTCTATCGATGGCCATCTTCCCTGGATCAACTTGTTCTTTGTGCAGCATGTGCTGGAAAAGCTGGCGCCCCAAGCCTTTTCTCTGGCTGGACTCATGAATATAGAAATCCAGTATGCAAGGCGGCGATACTTGGTAATGCTGACCCTCTTTGTCGAAGACATAGAGCCCTTTGGCTCCTGTTCTCAGCATTCCGGTAACTGCACCTTTACCAGCGTTGGCATGTTGGTCGATAAGTAGGTAGAGTTTGTGCTCTGAGTTTTTCAGGCGTTCCGATGATGTTATCGGTTTCGGCAAGCCCTGAGCAGCTGCTGAAGCTTCTCCTATAGCGTTTACGACTTCGGAGACTTTGTTAACAGTGTTCCACAATGTCCTTCTGTCGCCTCGGAAGCCTGGAGGTATGAGATCACGGTTTATTTCCACGATGGGTTGATTGAAGATATCTGCGATATTGAAGTTGAACTCCATTTCAAGAAGACAAACTTGAAGTTATGTTATGCTTATATATCGTCAAACACTAAGCGTGTTTTGAATTTTCGCGGATAAAGAACTTTTATAAATCACTATCATTTGACATTGAAAAAATAATGTTTGACGTGACAATGATATATTTCATTTGACGTGACGTAGCTCTAGAAAGAATATCGGTGAGCGTGGATGGTGATAGATGCGCTGCGACCTGATTAGATCTATTGTTTCCTAGTTGTTTCCCATCTCCTTCTGCTATCTCAAGGTTTTCTTGTTTATAGCAGCCCCCAAGCTTCAATTCTTTTGAGAAAGTGACGATTTTGAGGGGATGGGGTTTGTGATATTTCTCCCACGGTCAGCTGGTATGCTCTCAGTATCTTCGATCTTTTGTAGTGTACAGCATAACACCTCAGCAAGATGTGGTGGAGTGTTTCTGGATGTTCCCCGTAGAATCTGCATGTGCCGTCCACCTCTAAGTCTAGATTCCCTAGATGTTCTTTGAGTCCACAATGCTCCGTTATTAGTTTGAGACTAATTTTGCTGGGGTTGATCAGTGTCTTCGATTTTGCTTGATAGAAAAAGTCTTTGGCCTGCCGCAGTCCTGAAAGTCTTAGCCAGTGTTTTACTCTCATTGTTTCTTCAGCCTTATTCAGAATGTCTGCTTGTTCATTTTCCTCCACTCCGATGTGCTCCGGCAGCCAGAAGAGGATTACCTCATCGTCCTGCCTATATTTTTGAGTTTTATCTAGGTATTCTCAAACCCTCTTTGAGTCAATGGTTTATGATTGGTACACCACGTGGAGATTGGAACAAATTCGTTGATAACTTGATATTGCCAGTGGGAAGAAAAGCTCAGGAACGTCGATTTTTTTAGTTGCGCATTTTCTGGTCAACTGATTCTTTTGATGGGGTCATCACTGTTTGAGTTATGACACCATCATAATTTTTTTCAAATGGCAATAGCCTACAAGAAGAACGCATTTTATCGTGTATGAACGTTTATTTTTTCATGATTTCTTTTTTCGGGAAATGAAAGAGATCCAACCCAAATTAATGTGATTCATAATGTTGAGGACATGAAAAATATGAGTAGACAGAGGTAGACAATCGATGTGTCTGAGCTTGTTTGCCCAATAGCCATATGCTCTCAATGACTTTCTTTCAACATAATGATCATTATTTCAAACGGATGCGTCAGAGAACTCTTCAATAACAACTTTACAGATGTTGATTGATTTGTTTCTTGTCATATTCCATGGATCACTTTCATTAGTTCAACATGCTGCTTCGTTATTATTATTATTATTTGTTACTGTTATTATCATCATCATCATTATTATTATTTTCAACTCCAGAATGCTTTCCCTAAATATTTATAGCTATTAAGTTAATTACACCATGATATACTTATATTCCAATGTAATTTTGCGGTTTTCTGTTATTGGTTTGTTAGTTCAACCTGTTGAAAACCCGGATAGATAAATGAATGAATAAATGATTGAAATTCCTCTCTCGAGAAAGTATTCCGACTTTGAAATAATATGTTCAGCTGCAATATATTGTATACATTGTTCGATGTTTGTCTAGAAGATGGAGGTAATGTCGGCAAATAAGACCCACTAAAGTAATTTTGTTTGATATGATGAATCAACTCTTACACGGAAAACGCTATATGACGACGACGTGAGTCATTTTGACGTCGATAAAAAAGGATGCACCTTTTTATCGCTCATGAACTGCCTGCTCCTTTGATCTAGTAGCTATTTGAGCCTGATGTCACTCCAGTTTTTGTCGTGTCAAGTTTGATTGATGGGTCTGTTTCACGCGTAAATTAGCAAGATGAGCCGTTTTAGGAAAATTTCGTCTGAAAAAACCTCGAAAATATGAGGAAATCGATTCCACAAACTAACTGTTACACGGAATCATCAATAAAAGTCATCATTATTGTTATCTGTTTGTATATTGTCGTTTATTCATCTTGCCAAAAAGGCACTCGAACTTTTTTATTTATTTGAATACATTTCCCTACTATCTCAAACATTTTCCATCAGTTATTTCTCGCAAAAAACTGACATTAGACACAATTGCTCGACCTACGGTCTCACAATTTTTTTCATGTCAGTTTTTCTCGTAAATTTACTGATCGGCAAATGTTTTTCGTTACCAAGAGAAATTTATCCGATGGAAAAAAGGCTACTGTCGATAAATGCTCAGCAGTACCCTGGGGTTTCATATCGTGGGTTTCATATTACACAAGTAAAATAGCCTCATTGATGTGGTAACCACATTTTTCACAATTTCGTGTAAAATAATTTATTCAATTCCTGTAAAAGTTAATCAACTTCCAGCTATCGAAAGAAGACATTATTATAAAATTGGAAATTGAAAAATGTTTAATATGAATTTTAGAAATTAGGAAAAGTGAGGTTACTCACTCTTCAGGTTGACAAGAAAATCATCAATAAAAATATTTCCGATCCAGTTGAGCAATTTGCATTTTGAATTATCCAGATTACTGAGTGAGTTGTTAGACAGGTCCACATTAGACCAGTACAATAATTGCTCCTTGGGGATCTGGCTGTCTATTCCACATTTTTATATCATTTACATACATGAATTGTTTCCTAACATTGATACAAATTTTTGACGATTTCTCTGACATACGTCATGTCTTGTATTTCAGTCGGGGAGGTTTGCCCCCTTCTTTATATATAGGAAATCTTGGAAATTAGAAATCTTTGCAGTGTAAGAATTCACTCAAAGAAATAGTATGGGTTGAATTGACAAAAAAATGTGTTTAATCAACAACATCATCATAATTGTCGAATAAAACTACAATGATGGTACATTTAATGATTAGGTGATTGTCAAAACAATTGAGAAAAAATTGTACATGAACAAATTTAACGTCAACCAAAAATACTAGTTGTTTTTGATAATATTTTTGTGCTACAACCAATAATTTGTGAACATTAGTCAAATCGAACTAGGAATAGTTATTTCAACAACATTAGAACTGTAACTGAAACATCATAATATCTCGCTCACTGTTATATTTGGTAGACAAACGAATAGGAAGTTATAATCAACATATGAGTATTTCGAATCAAATTAAAGATATGTTATAGCTATTCTGCAATGGAGTGATTTTGGTGAGTCGATTATGTAATCATTGTATTCAATATCTAATTGTAATTTAGTACTGAATTTAGTGATGATTCAACACACTGTATGAAATTATTGCTTAAGTTCGTCCCGTTTTCTCAGGACTCTCTTCAATTTTTGGATCATTTAGTACAGAAGAAGTGGATATATCCCCAGGAAGGTTGTATATAACAAGTACCAGAACCATACAAGGAGTACCACTGATGTAGTCTTCCCAATTAATAATCATGATGAGGAAAATTCATCAGATGATCGTAATTATGTGATGGTGAGTATTATTCATGAATTCAATCAATTCAATATTGAATTTATATTTCGATTCTATACATTTCTTGTAGGAAGAAGATGACAAACTGTTGTAGCAATTGAATAACGTCCATTGAGTGTCATTTATTCATTTATTTATTACAAAGTAGGGATACAAACAGACAAAATCCAACGAGTATCCTCTTATTAGTATCCTCATAAAGGATAAATGGAAGAGTACATTCAAATAACGGAGACGAGAAATCACAAATGAAGAGAATTATACTGTAGATATTTTGTAAAGTTGACCACCATATAATGAATAAACTTGATGTTTATCCGACATCTGTAATAATTCAGTGGTACAAGAACCTGAAAAATAGTCAATATACCTACCTACCTATATCTACTATGCACTCTGTTGGTGAACCAAATATTATGGCTATCTCAACAAAATATAAGTGAAGGGACAGAAATTATGGTCTACATACCATTTTGTTGTGAGATTAAAATCTGGTTGATAACCAATTTTCTTGATCAAAACAACAATAACATTCGTATGGTGACTAAACATATTCAACTATTGTTCGCTGGTTGATTTAATTATTAAACGAGATAGGCTCATTTTCATATGCTCTCTTTGGTTGATTTAACCCATCAATTTTTTTGAGTATTGTATCAATAAAAGTTTAAATAGATTCAAAAAAGCAGGTTAATCTATGTTCATGAAGAAAATGCGGACTATTTTGGTATATCTACACTGGCACACAGCTAAATAACCCTCACCTAAAAATCAAAGTGGCATGCAAAGTTTTTTGTTTCATTCACCAAACCTTCCTTTTCAGACCCAGACCTTGTTAGCAAAATTATTAATTCCTGAGATACACGATCTCGTAACCTTCATTGATTACCCGGTTCAACCCTTTTTATTGCTTGGAAACACCCGCATACTTGTTCTTCTCCGCTCGGCATCCTATACCTTTACCGCCTCTCATCAAATTTCCTTATGGAGATTAGCTCCATAGCTCATTACCCACTCGATCGTTCAATTCCAGCCAAATGAGACTTGTTTTGTTGTTATAGATCGTACTTGATGTCTTTAGAGTTAAACAGATAGTTCTCCTCCCTTTGTTTTAGCCCATTCCCATGCCAGACACGTTCTCAGTCCGGGCCGTTCAGTGCACGGAAAGCAACGTTATTATATACACTTTGTTTTCCTTTCCCCTGGATCCCAGGAGCGGGTTTCTAGCGTTCCTTTTCCGTGATTTCCAGATCCCAACTTTCAGCATGGAGGGGAAGCCTCGAAAGAATTGCAGAAGAATAGAGGTGGAATGTGAGATGTATTTCTGAATCGATTGATATAGCCAACACAGTTGCTGCCCGGGCAATCTTAATTTCACAAACAGAAACCACCCAGTGTATATCAGACTGATACCATCATGAAGTCTCAAGAAAATTTCCATATTCAGATATTATTATCAAATTCATTCGCCTTTGATAATTATTAGTATATTACGTGATATGTGTTGTAAGAAGCATATAACGCAAGAATGGAAAAGTTACGAACGCAGCCGCGGAGCGGCGAGTGCGTAATTGCTTTACAACACTTATTACGTACTATACTCTACCTACTGCCATATAGTACATCAAAAAAGTTTGGACAAATAGTCTGAACTATAATTCTTGACAGTTATGTCATCCGCTGTTGACAGAGTATTTGATTACATTT